GGCAGCGGAAAACTACCTCCAAAATCTTCAATCTGAATCTGCATTGTTGGAATACAACGCTGAAGCACAGGTTCCAACGTCAACGGAATCTCACCGTGATCTGCAATTACTTCGTCTGGTACAGACTGCTGAGGTGCAGTAGCTGCGACGCATTGCTTAATAAAATCTGACATAGTGCGCCTCTGGTTGATGGCTTCATCCAAATGCATTTGCTTTTCCGATACTAATGCAGACCGGGCCTCCTCCGATACGTTCGAATCTGCAAGTGCCACATCAATTCTGACGCAGCCACCACAAAGATCTTCATTGGTTTAGGGTAGTCGAATTCCAGGAAAATACATGTGTACATATTGCGTCCAACGACAATACTGGATTACCCGACGATCGCTGATTGAGGCTTTGTGTGAGTATCGTTCCCAAACTGTTTTCCAGGTCAAAGACGATTCAACAAAATATTGGCGAGGGCGCCGATGGCTGCAAGGAAACCCATCTTCAAGCTTCCATTCTCGGCATGTTGAAAGAAAAAAATCGATGTCATCACAGGAGAATATATGCTTGGGACGCGTTGGAACTCGTCGAGTATGATAGCTGTCGATTCCGTTTCTTATCATGTCTTTCAATCTCACTATCTTGGAGCCTCCTACACCAAAGATAGCTCGAACTTGTGCGTCAGGTACTCCTTGTCGAAGTAATGCCAGGGCCATCCATTCCGCTTGCGCGTGCTCGTCTCTGCCCCATTGAGATGCGAGGATTTTGTACGTTGTTTGAAGGTCGTTTACGACGTCTGCACCTAGCGTATCCTTTGCCCATTACGGCTTTCGCGAACTGATGACCGTCTACTAGGAACAGTCTGCAAAGATCCCCCAGCGCCACCAGAACGCCGCTATACAGGTTGAGTGGGGTCCGACATGATTTCGACGAAGTATAAAGTGGCGGTTGTGATCTTACGCTAGATAAAATAATTAATTCAGTTTGGAGTCCTTTTGTTTGCGGTGACCCAGGTCGTCGCCAAACGTTTCACATGCTCAGCATGGCGAGTCTGGCAGCCAGTCTGGCAAGTCTGGTAGTCAATCTGGCAAGACTGGTAGTCAGTCTGGCAAAACTGATAGCCAGTCTGGCAAGTGTGACAGTCAGTCTGGTGACCATGGATCACAGTCTGATTTTGAGGCCCGAACAACCCAATCAACGCTGCCACAAGCCGAAATGGAGCGTTTGAGGTGGCGAGTCCGCCAAGTCTAGAGGTTGGCCAAGCAAAGCGCAAGATCCAAGAAAACGGCTCAAAACAAGAATGTTGGGATGGCTCAATACGACTCCAATTTGTTCTCAGCTTATCAAAACATAGTAAGCACACAAAATGCAGTACAATGCGAGCCTACCTACGATAAATCGGCCAAAATTCTATCGCAATTCAAGCTGTTCGAGTTCAGCAAAAATCCCAGAGCGCCAGTTGCGCACAATATAGCAAGGCTGCCTTCAGCAAAGAACATAATTCCTCCTAAATCCATCGCGCGGGTTTTCTGCAAAGATTTGCTTGGGAAGTGCAGCGCCAATGTGGCAGTTCTTCAGAAGGCAAACAAGGATTCGTGTGACCAGAATCTAGGCAAGCAAGAAAATTGCGATGGAGATTATTGGGGTCGGTACCTACGCGACTGAGACGTTGGAAGTCATGAAAAAGTAGCACAGAGTGATAAAGAGTATAAAGTATGTGGAGAAATCAATTAGCTGGATTGAAGCTAATGATTTCACGCTACTCGTGGCTATACATTTCCAAGTTGAAGCCGATCCTGATATAATGTCGAAGCTTAAGTCGATCCCACTTCTATCGGTGCAGGCTGAAGCACTTGATCTTGTCGGGAAGTTGCCATTGGGTGACTCCACCGTCAACACTCTAATGTTGGAGCTGTTTGCGGAGCGAGTGGACACAATCGTCGTCGATACCGCCATCGCTGGGAACGTGATGAACGGGTTCTTACCGGTGGAGACTATGGAGAATGTATTTCTTGGCGTAACGGGCGAGAAGATTTTGATTCCAGTGATATGCTGCAAGAACCACTGGTGTTCGGTCGTGATAGACCTCAAAGCGAAAGAAGTCCTAGTCTACGATCCATTGAATTCTAGCTTTGGAGTCAAGGTTCGAACACTTGCGGACAAGTTGGTGACAATTCTG